ACGGCCGGGGGCGCGAGCGGCGGCACCGCGCAGCCCCGGGCCCCGACCAGCCCGAACCGGCCCCGCGGCCACCAGCCCGAGGTCCGCACGCCGAAGTGCCCGCGCTTCCGACCCGCAAGCAGGGCGGCGGCATCACCATCCCGCGACCGCGCAGGACCAATCGGAGGACGGCGTGACCGCCAGTGGGCGTGAGCGCCTGAGGAGCCGGGAGGGGCGGGGCTGGGGCTGCGCGCGCAGCTTCTGCGCTCCTGCCCCTGCGGTTTAGACCTTGCCGAAGGGTGGTCCTTCAGGTGTGCGTCCATACGTTTGCTTGTAAATGCGATCGTCTCCTGAGTACAAAGCATACCTTCTTTACTCACTATCACATGGTGAGCATTTCCCCAGGAAATTCCACATTTTCCCAGCTTCACTGAAGTATAGTCGAGTCTGTACTTGATGACTTGATAACTGTATATATTCTGAAGTGATCAAAAGTTTCATTAGACATTTTTGAAAACATCATTTTAATGACTGCACAGTAAACCAGTGCATTGGCATATTATAATTATTCGGTCATCTCCTTGTGGGCGAGTAGGTTTTCTTCAGTTTTTCACCAATGTATTACCTGAAAATTCCTCATTCTCACTTCTGTTACCGAAACTCACGTCTGGCTGCTCCCTGCTCAGAGCCAATACAAAGAGAGGCGCCTGTAAGTAGAAAGGAAAATTTGCTGTATTTCGGAGGCCGGCAGGGGGGTGGGGGTGGGCTTCTGCCAAAAGCCCACTCCCCGCTGCCAATCAGTTGGCGAGAGTTTCAAAGGGGAGTTTCGGGGTGCACAGGTGGAGGGAGGGGGCTGCTTGCCGAACAGGACAGTCAGCGCCAACAGTCCTGCTGAGACTGGTCGTGCGGTGTCTGACCAGCGTCATCTTGATTAAGTACAGTTAATCTTCAGTTCCAGGGTCGGTTTGTTCCCACTTCTTTGAGGCCAATTCTCCGAACTGCAGCAGCTGATGTCATGGCTACAGCCTGGTCATCATGTAGTTAGCTTTTCCCACCCGGTGGGGGTTTCAGTATCCACAGTGCCCAGGAGGGTGTGGAGGTGAGGTGGTCAGGCAGTAAAGGCTAGATCCCTGGGCTTCTGCAAGAGGCTGCCCCATCTGCCCCCAATACCTTAGGAACCACGCTTCTCAGGGTTCACTTTTGGATTCGTACAAACCAGGCATGGAACTTTTAGGATGCTATTTAATCGCACCTTCTCTGGTTCTTTTCTGATGTTTACCTGGTCTGACAGGAGATAGCGCCTCTGTTCTGTAGCTAGGAAGGCGTGTGGTCTGGGTAGAGGTCTCCTGTGGAGGTTCGAAGCTGGCTCTATCTTGCACTGTGTGACCTTGGGTAAGTAGGCTAAACTTCCCGTGCCTCAGTTTCCTCATCTGTATAATGGGAGGGGGTGATAATACCACTTCAGATTTTGTGAGAAGTGACTAACACCAGTGACAGAGGGTGGTGGCTCACCCTCTGTAACCATGAAGCACATTCTGTTCTTATTGAGACTTGGAACCAGAATGGGAAAGTTTGCAGGGAGGAGATGCGTTTGCAGGAGGAGGTTGGGGACCTGGATGGAGGGCAAGAGCCGTCCTTATACTGCAGAAAGAGTAAACTGTCAGCCCGTGCACCTGGGCATGAGCCCCGGTCTCCAGCAAGTCAGATGGATTCTGGAAATCCTCCCGAGAAGGGGCATGACTGCAGGACCTACATCCAGGGAAAGCCGGAGGGAGAAAGGGCCAACAGGTGTGTGAGGAGGGCGGGGCTGTTCAGGAACCATCAGAACTCAGTCATATTTTTTAGATGCAGCAGAAAGTAGAGATTATGTGTAGGCTTGTACAAATCAGAAGCTAGAAAGTAGAGTGGGAAAGGTGGTGGAACTGCTTTGTCCTGTTTGGGCTTCACTGAAACCAGTGCTGACTCACTTCCCTGAGGCCACTGGCTTCTGTGCTGACCGCACCCAGAAAGGGCAGGTGGGCGCAGTGCCAGGTTCACTGGAGGTGGCAGGAAGGGCCCCTAGAACGTGCCCTACCTGGAGGAGGAGCAGGGCCTGGGCCAGCTGCCCTCTGCCACATGGCCTGCAGGCTCGCTGGCCCTAGACTCCTTCCACCAGTGACATCGTGTGTGTCAGGGCGAGGCCTTCTATTCTGTGATGGACTTGAGAACTTAACAGCCCGAAACACATAAGCTGATGGATGGTTAACTACAATTATTTCCAATCACTCCGTTCTGGCTACTCCCTTCCCCTACTGCCCTGACCCAAGGGAAAAGAGGCTGCCCGAGGCCTCCTCGCTAGACCCTCACCCAGGCCCTGCTCCCCGGGACCAGGGCGTCGTTGGTTCACACAGCATCCCAGCCGTTTCCGGCGGATGCTTTACGGACCGTGTCAGAGACAGTAAGGAGGGTTGTTTAATACGACGACTGAGCAGAGGATCTGCCTCGTTTCTGGACCGGAAGATACGGGGTGGGATACGCGAGTGACAGGTCCGCGAACCGCGAGTGTGCCTGGGTCTGCTGGACATCTGGGAGAAATGGGGACAAACGGACGCTCCGAGCTGCGATGTCAACCCTCCAGGCTGCGACGACGCGTTCCCAACTCGGACGCGAGGCCTCCGCCGGTGCCCGGCGGTCACCGACGGCGCGCACACACCCGGAAACGGCGGCTCCAGCCCGAAGCTCGCAGGATCTCTGAGCACATACGGCTCCGGCTCCGCTCTTAACTGCCCGCTTGCCGCGTACCGAC